ATTGCAAAATTAGGTATGAGATCTGAGCAGGTTTGGGGGTTCGTAAAATATGGTTTTTTCATCTGATGGCATCTTTCGAATGACCGACGATTTATCGGAGTCGCAGGATTTTAAGCCGAAGACTTGTTTGAACAATCCAACAGGTAATCCTCCTTCGGTTTCCGATGAAGCTAATTACTGATGAAAATTCGAGTCACTAACTCATTAAAGGATTAATCGAGCATATGAAGAACAAGATGGTGTGGCCTTTTGTGTGGTCGCAGTCTCCTTTCGTTGTATAGAAGTTGTTCGACCTTGTTTTTGCAACTTGGTCTTATTGGAAGGAAGACTTAAAGGAACGCACCTAGTCCGGAGTCCATTGTATGCATGATCATTTCCAAAGTCGGATCACGGACGTGGTACATTCTCAGACGCTTCGCCGGTATCGTCAGTGAGTCTTGCCATTCTTAGCATCAAACTACAGCTCGTCAAAGAGACAAGTGAAGCCGATCCTTAGACCAAACGTGTGCTAAACAGTTATGGTATCTCTCCCTCTGCCCTGAGGTATTCACCTCTCCTATATCCTCGAATCACGCCTTCACTGTTACAATTTTTACCGTGCCTATTTACATGTAGTGTGGTGTGCCCTTTTGAGCGGCTTACATGAGAACCATCCACACTCAACGCTGCCGTTCTCACCCCCCTTCACCCTTGTGCTTGGAATGTGGATCAGAGTCTGCCATATTGTTACGCAGTCATACTTACCTAGGTCTTATCAAAGTCTCCCTCTTGCCCCGTAGAATCCGTCTGCTATCTTCCTGGTTCAAGTATTTTACTCGACCCCTGCGAACCCAACTCTTCTACTCGAGGGGTTATTACCCTTCCCCTGTGTCTGGGTGACTAATTTGAGGCTAAAGCCTCTGTGTAAGTCTCATAGTAAAGCCTTTGCTTCATGGACCACGTCTATGGCAGGGGGGTGAGAACGCTAGCGTGGAGTGTGGAGGGTTTTTTATAAAAGCCGCTCAAAAGAGCACACCAAACTACATCTAAATCAGCACTGTAAAAAATTTTAACAGTGAAGGTGGGATACGAGGAAAGGGGAAATGTGAATAACCCAGGGTAGATTGAAGCTTCAGATACCACAACTGTTTAGTACACGTTTGGTTAAAGGATTGTCTTTACTTGTCACTTTAAAGAGTTTTAGTATGGTGCTGAAACTGGCTAGACTCACTGACGATGCCGGCGAACCTTTTGGGAATGTACCACTTCCACGGTCCTACTCTGATAATGATCATGCATATAATGGAATCCGCATTGGGTGCGTTCCTCTAAATCTTGCTGCCAATATAACGAAGTTGCGAAAATAAGATCAAACAACTTCATTAAAGGATTGTTTAAAACACAAATTTTTTGTTTATATATATAATCCTTGAAAATTGTATACTTTTCCCAATGACTGTAGCCTAAAGATAGTTGATGGACACTTTTTTTCTTCATGCAATTTTTTTAGTGCACACTTATGCTTTTTATGGATTTGAGCGGAGTTCCCTGTTTTAGAAATACATATATTGCAGCATACTTGTGCCTTTACACGAATTACTTTTGCTTGCGTTTTATGCTTATGCTTATCCACTCCTTTTTTCTTATGACCTTAATCAATGCATAGGAACAAGATAACTCTGTACATTTGCCACCTCATTTATGTTTTCCACACTATCAGCCGCAAGATATAAAAATTGATTTAACTTGTCGTATCATTCAACTTTTTCATTTACCTAAATTTGTTTATTTGGACCCCATTCTAGTCTTTCTAGGAAGTACGCATCGGACGACTTTTCTCTTAGTTCATTTTGACTAGGCTTATATTAATGACTTCTTTCATTATATACTCCGACCAATCTAACTCAGCACCCATATACTTGAGGCTAGTGAAGTATTCTTCTAAGAGTACAAGCTCTTAACTGACCACAATTAAAGAGGGGATCTGCTCCCCTCCACTTCTCACATTGCTTCTTTGTTCCCTTTCATGTCACGAAAAAATCACTCTAGGGAGGTATTCTTAGTTATTTTGTACTAATCTTTTTGTCCAAAACCTTTTCATCCCTTATATCCTATTGGACCTTAAAATTAGTATAAACCCTATTTAACTCTTTTGTATTCTCTATTCACTTTATTTAATATGTTTTTTTGTTTATTTTTTTATCTATTTAATCAATCTCAATTGAAAATTTAAAGCCAGTCTCTATCCCAATTGACTCTCAGCCTCAAACTAGGCTTTCTGATCCTTTGAAATCCATAAGCTCAGATTCCGACCCACTAGCCAGTTCTTCAGCTACTGGGCGTCATTTTCCTTCACCAAGGCAAAGCATGCCAGTTAGTCCAATATCGAGTCGTTCTAGTGTTGCAACTTATTTGGGTCCCTGCCGATCGGCTCCTCTTGCCAGAGGAGAAGAGGAAGAAGAAGATGAGAAAGATTTTTCTGGTGACGATTGCAAGAAATTTGAGGCTTGCATTCTCAAATCTGATGCTGGGCGTCTATTAAGCCGTCACAGCCACCCTGACGATTTCGTCTCTCGAGATTCACTTCATCCAGACGCGCATGCTCAGAGTCCCACTTCTCTATCGCCCACCTCTTCATCACCACCTCTTTCTGCCATTCACTGGTCAAGTATTAATGGTGTAGATTGTGAAAAAATGACAATTAGTGCTACGGCATCTCGATTTTCTCGACCAATATTGAACTATTCACATTCAAGCAGATTACCCAGCTCCACTCGACCCTTAGAGTTGCCGGACAGTAGTTCTGGTTCTGTTACATATGTCTCAAGACAGGCGGTCACGGCGGTCTGTAGTCCTCAGGTCATAGGAAACAGACGTCGCCGAGCTGGCTGGTTTTCGACGGCCTCAAGTTTGGTATCTGGCCCCAAAGATTTGGTCCAAGACCAGATCTCACCTGGCGTCATTTCATCCTGTTCGATCGGCTTTAGCCCTGAAGAAAATGTCAATCATACTGTCCATATTTCTCAAACACAAGATGGGTCTGCAATCGTGGCAAAAGATGGAGAGACAATGGGACAAAATTTGGACATGCAATCTCTAGCTATCATCAAACAGCCGAGTGGGCCGACTCGACCCCTCTCAAATGGATTGTCATTTAGGCGACACTTGTTCTTTGACTCAACGCTGACTGCAATGAAACAGGTTAGAAAAATATATACCATGACATTGATGTTGAACACACTTTGCCTTGACATTTAGCCACCCAACTCTCAATAAATCATATAAGGCCGTCTTACTTTATTTGCCTACCATATAATCCATGGTTAATTACGCCTCATACACTTGATGATCATGAGGCATATTAATGGCAAAAACTTTTCTGAAGTCGTTTATTTAGTTGGCTTTGCTTCATTCTTGATGTCTTAATAACATACTTTCTAACTCGGACAATCGACTAAGTTAATTTGCATCCGCTTTACTGGCATTTTAATGACGAGAGTTACGCATTAGTGATACATGACCTTATTATTTATTCACTGGATTTTGACACACTAGTTAGAATATTTATCAAGAATTACTACCCAATTTATTGACTTCGAAATTAATATACTTACCTATCGTTAGTTCGCACGAAGTTATTTTTTCTGATAAGATAATGAAATAGGAGAGGAATATAGTATCAATATAAGGCCTTCACCCTAAATTGAAATCAGAGGATTTGAAGAGAAACTGAAAAATGTATCCACCAAGTCAAGCTATGGGAATTATATCTAATTTAATTAAAGTGGATAATGACTAACCAATTTATTAGGTCGTCTTTGTCTTCTTATAGGTTTTATCTATACAAGTAGTCGATTCGAGACGAGGAGGTAAGAAAGGCCTAGTTAAGATATTTAGTGTTGGCTTGACCTTCATTATGGTGTAAATTTTGTGATGAAGAGATGAATAAGTCGATCTTACTAGAAAACGATCGCT